TTCAGGGGGGGTCAAATCGTCTCACCATCATCCTTGATAACGAATTTCCTTTCTTCTGATGTCTTGATGAAATCTTTCTCCTTGCTCGTCGCTTTCCGCACCCAAGTTTTCAGGGAAAAATTTTAAGAGATTGCAGAAAGTGAATTTTTAAAGACATATTGCAATTAAGCATTTGGCACGAATCTAAAAGTTCGTTTACTAAGCGAACGCGAAAGTAAGCGAACTTTTAGATTCGTATAGTTGTAGTTCTTGTAGTTCTCATCCTTCTTGTTCCCTAAAAATCCCTTGACGACGCTTACAAATGACTTTCATGCTCTGAGTTCCTGTCTGTTGAGTGTTCCATTAAATTTGCATTGTCAAGCAATTTTATAATTTGAGAACCAATAAATATGCCGTCTTTAAGTTTGACGTCACTTAATTGGGAAAAAGTTCCCTTAAGTATTTAAATCCCTCATCTTCTTTATTCATAGTCTTCACAAAAATTTTTATTAGCCCAAATTTAATATGAAGAGGTGGCAAAAGAACATTTTTAACCTTTCGTTAGTCGCTATCGGTGTCTGAGACCGACGAAGTCATAATCCGTATTTTACGGCGATCATGGCCAATTTGGGCGTTCCCCTTCCAGGTACCTTCATAGATTCCCTCGTTGAACGTTAGTATGAAAAATCAGTTCAGTGAGTGTAGTCGTGTTAATTGCCTGATTGGTTTCGGAGCGAGAGACCGAAGCGACTATACAGGAGAATTTATTTTTGCTCGGTTTAATCAAATATCATTCACAAAACAGGTATGATTCAGACTAATTTTGAAGTAGGTACACTATTTATTAGTTTTTCATTTTCTATAGACATGTGTTCATATGAAGAAGAACAACGACGACTATATCAGTTGTGGGATTTGTGTGATTCAGATGACGAAATTGTTGATGATGACGAAAGCAGTAATGAAGAGGATAATGTGGAGAAAAGAGAAGGTGGTAGTGAATCAGAGCAGGACGTTAGCGCAAATGAAGATGGAGCCGAGGAAGAGGAATCTGAGTATAGTAGTAGACTAAGTTTTATCGGGAAGGATAGGATTATAAAATGGAATAAACTAATGGGGCCAAAAAAATGTTAGAACTAGACAGGAGAATTACGTAATTCGTTTGCCAATGTCACGATTACCTACAAGAGCATTGAAAACTCCTTTAGAAATATGGAAGTATTTCATAACCGATGAAATCTTATTTTCGATTATGGATAGTACCAATAAGTTTATAAATTCGGTGAAAGAAAAATTTTCACACGACAGAGATGCACGACCTACTGATATTCTGGAAATGCAAGCTTTCATAGGGCTACTCTATTATGCTGGAATTCTAAAGGCTAACCATTTAAATGCAGATGATCTTTGGAAAACTGACGGATCCGGTGTTGAAATCTTTCGCTTGACAATGGCATTAGTTCGTTTCCGATTTCTGCTAAGATGTATAAGAACTGATGATAAAGCGACTCGTGCAGAACGTGCAAAAATTGACAAACTTGCACCAATAAGATTTTTTTTTTCGATAAGTTTGTGGATAATTGTAAGAATGGGTATAGTCTATCTAAGTATGTAACCGTCGATGAGAGGCTCGAGGCATATAGGGGGCGCTGCAGTTTCCGGCAATACATTCCACCAAAACCTAGTAGATATGGAATCAAAATATTTGCTCTGGCGGACATTAAGTTGATGCATGTTTCTAATATGGAGGTATACGTTGGGCAACAACCCGAAAGGCCCCTCCGCGTAAGCAACAGTCCAGATATCGTGGTAAAAAGACTATGTCAACATATTTATGGATCTGGCCGAAATTTGACCATAGACAATTGGTTTACAAGTATCGACCTTGTTGACGCATTGCACAAAGAAAAAAATTACTGTCATTGGTACCATAAGGAAAAATAAGCGGGAGTTGCCCGTCGAATTCACAAATCCAACACGTCCTGTAAATTCAAGTATGTTTGGATATAGAAAAAATTGTACTCTTGTATCCTACATTCCAAAAAAAGAAAAATGTCCTGCTGGTATCCTCATTACATTTCGACGACAATATTGATAAACGTAAAGGAGAATTGTGTAAACCAGAAATTATTACAAAATACAATAAAACAAAATGCGGTGTCGACGTAGTTGATCAACTTTGCTCCAATTACAACTGTGCAAGGCGTACCAGACGTTGGCCTATGGTTGTCTTCTACTCTATTTTGAATGTGGCCGGAATTAATTCTATGGTTGTCTACAATTGCAATAACCCTTATTCTAAACTGAGAAGGCGTTTGTTTCTACGAAGTCTTGCATTTGAAATAATAAAATCCTATTTAGAGTTCCGAGTAACTGTACAAAATCTTCCAGTAATTATAAAAACCCGTATTTATGAGATTTGTGGTCAAAAAGAAAACCAAAACCAAGTACATGAGAGGAGAAATGGTCGCTGTAACTTTTGCACAACCAAGCAGAACAGGCATACGCGTTATTTTTGTGTAAATTGCAGCAAGTTCATGTGCTTGGAGCATCTACAAGGCATTTGCGAAAGTGAAAGTAAAAAATGTAGATTCAATTCCGTCGGGTTTGCACATTCGAATGTGTTTACCGTCAACAGATCCTATACAATGTGGAAAATTAGTTCTCTCATATTCATCTGCAATGCTTAACCAGTCGTCTTCTGGTTTTTCGGCCATAAATATAGGGTCAAGACATATCCATATTGCCTCGCAAATAGTCCGCACTAGCTCACGAATAGTTGTAGCGCCAAGTAAATATTCATAATGTAATGAGTTAAAGCTGTTTCCCGTTGCCAAATATCTGTAAAATAAATAAAAAGTTTATATTTTTATCCTTTCATTTTTTTACAGGTAAATTTCAACGAAAATGGAAGAACATTACGGACAACTTTCGGAAAACTTAATCAGCAATAGAAAACAGTGTCGGGAGCGGAAAAGCGGAAGAGAAGGAAATATATTAATTTGGAACAATTATTATTTCTTCTCCCTATCATAAAAGAACGAGAAACAACTGGAAATTGTAGTCCATTATTGACCAGTGATATAGAGGAATACGAACAAAGGGACACTAGAATAAAAAGAATGCGAAAACCAAGATCCTCAACTATCTATATCTTCGTCGCAAAAAATAGTTTTCAATAAAGAGAAAAACGTAAAAATATGAAGAGTCCCTTTTACAAATTCTTAAAGAAAATAAAACCGAGGAAATTGATGAAGATAAGTCATTTTTGTTGTCTTTGTGGCCCTCATTTAAAAAACTATCATTCCAACAGAAATTAACCGCAAAACGGAATTTTTACAAGTTTTGCAACAAATTAGTTTTGCTACAAATTATCAGGGTGCTGGAATAACTCTTTCAGTCTGCCAAAACTTAAATATGATCATTCAGTCTTACTCCCCACAGCAAGTACCGAACCAGGCTTACCATATTTACCCGCAACATAAATCTTCTGGAGCTGCATCAACTGCACAAATACTACAAACTCAACCACAACAGATTCAAACAAAGCCGATACCATCTACATTCACTGGACACTATTATTCATCATTTACACCTAGCCCTGAACCATCTTATTCCAGTGTTTTATCACCTGATAATAGTACTTTACTATCGACATCTGATACTGAATTAGTTGAACTATATTACCATATTTTGTATTATTACTATTTGGTTGCATGACCGAATTTTCTGTTTAACAGTGTATTATGGTTAAATAAAAAGTAAACCAGTTTCTTTTACTTACCTAAGAATTACAGGTAATCTTTCCTCCGCGCTTATAGCCATCCTTATATTTGTATTTTGGTAAGTAATTTGTGTCCAAATCAGTGTAATAATTCATCAAATGATTCCTCACACATTCTAAAATACCCAAAGAATGTTTTGGGATACCTACATGTGTCGATATACAATTTGTGAAATTGGCCTTTTAGTAATCTTTGACTTACTAATGGATGAACCCACATTTTCTTTTTTTCGTTTTTTTTTAAACATATTAGTAAAGCAGCTATTGCAGCGGTCTCCACGAACTTCATTTTCAAATATCTGACTGATACTGCTGCATTTTTGCGTGCAGAGGTTACTTCGCCGCTAGTGCGCTCACTCCATTTTATTAAGACATTGCTATAAACAGACAAATATTATTTCAGCAAAAAATTATTTTTATTTACTAGCAAAAAATATAATTTTAACCGTTCTAAGAATTAAATAGCAGTTAATACTCCTGCAACTGTATATTGTGTTATTCCGATACACGTATACTTGATTATAGGGCATAGTATTAACCTAGATAATATGGTATTCAGTCAAATAAAATCGTATAAATAATCTATTAACTTAAAAAAATACCTTCAGCAGTACATGTTCGTGTTATTCAGACGTTTACTTTTATCAGTTTGCCTGGTTAAACAGTCGACATTTGTGTTTACTTTCTGCGACAGGAACTTCATGAAAAGTTTATCGTCCAAAGTATTTGTGTAAAATCCTAGCAAAGCATCACCAGTTGAATGTGGAATCGATTCGCAGTCGGTCACGGAAGTTGGATAATATATGCGCGCCGCATTCTCGAATGACGTCATCACAAGTGTCTTCTGTACTTCAGCTTTCCACTTCCTATAAGAAACTTAGTAGTAAATGAATTTTTATATTGAAGTGAGTATATTGTATGTGGTTACAAAAAATCATTATTTGTCTTCCGTCGCCTTTTTAAGCCATAATTGGTAGAGTAGTTTCATATTTTTTTTTATGAATTTGTCCTTAAAAGTGGTATCTACAGTTTGGTTTTTATTGCGAAACGTTAATAAATCATTGTATGACACCCACTCCATGAGCGTACTTGTTCGAATTGTTTTCTGTAATAATATCATGAAAATATATGAAAAACTTGTAGTTAAAATTGCTTTTTTTGTAACATGAAGGCACTTAATAATTTATTAATCCCTAAAGCGGAAGAAAACTTAATAGTTATCATTATTTTCATATGCAGCTTCGTGGTCCAGCGGTAAAGATACTTGCCTCTCACTCTGGAGTCTCGGGTTCGATTCCCGGCCGAGGAGCTAGTATTATTTCTAAATCAGAAATGAATCCTAACATACTCTGATATTGGGTGTGTGTCCATTGTCTCTAAATGTGCGGCCTTCTCCCGCTTAAGATACCTTGAAGTACCTTCAGGATATCCCCTATGGTTGTGTTGTATTACCTGTGGTGAATTTGATAATTATTCTTAAATTAACCTGAAATCCAATACTACATTGTAAATTTTGTAACTAATATTTTTTAGTTATATGTAAAACATTTTGATATCAAGTGCTTCTAAAGAAAAATAACCGTGCTCCAGTTTTCTCCATTATGAAACGAGTAAGATTATTATTCACAAAGTACATGAAACACTTAAATACCAAAATCCGACAAGTAGCGTTGATAGTGTAATTGAAATGTGTTCAAATATGACGGTAGTTTGCAAATCCTTTTACATACTTTTAAGTGAAAGTCACCAAAACCATCTTCAGGGAAAAAATAGTTATGGATGAAGACAACAAAAGAAAAGTTCATTCGTTCTATTTCAACAGAAAACCCATCTTGAACAAAAGTCTTAGGTGCACTTATAGTAGATGAAGATAATAAATAGAAAGGAATTTTGGAAACTATGAGAAATGGATAGCTGGAAAAAATGACTTTTAATCGAAAAAGACGAAATTATTAGTTGGAGAAAAAAACTGCTTAAGATCCGTACAACAGTTTTGTAGTAAAATTAAAAATATTATTGAAACATGGCTAAATGAAGAATATATAGTTGAAAAGATGTGACTTGATAAAAACATTACAAATGCTCAAGCTCATCTAGAATGTTGGTCCCCAGAAGGCAGGAGGATTATTTTGGACAAAATTGAAACTTATTCCGCGCGACTCAGTAATAGTAATGGACAATACTAGAGAGAAATTGAAGAAATACAAATGAGGAACAAAATTTCAAAACGGCCTTTATCCAGTGTCTTTGGCTATTGAAATAAGTGTCATTGCTCTTGCTTTAAGAGATTTCCTGAAGTGCCACTGAGGTTTCAAATGAGCTTCCATCCCACTTAAATTTAATGTTTTAACATGAAGACATTTTTCAAAGCGATTTTTATTGTTGGTCAAACCAATTTATTATTAGAAGAAACGTGCTCTCATCTAGAAAGATTGAAAATAAAACGGATACATGTATTTTGTACCTTCTGAATTCTGTAGAAATTCACATCATCAAAGCAGAGACTGTAAACAATATCAGAATAACTGCGATTTTGCGATTTATTTTAATTTTTAATTTTAACGACAAATTAATTTATAAGCCACATTTATATGTTCCTAGTAGTTATTGCTTTGAACATATTCTTGGAAAATTACACTACTCAAAAATATTTACCCTCATTAAGGTTGACATGATAACCACTGGAAATTGTTATCGATTCGATACAATTTTGTTGTTTTTTTTTTACATTAGTTATTCCTTGGGTTAGAAAGTTCCTAAAAACAAAATCAAGGTAGTCTAATAACTCAGTTTAGTGGCACCACCACCTGACAGCCAGAAGCACTTTATCGATACTCAGCTGCAACCACTATCTGTTCATATTTATCTCAAATTTGGTAGTTCTATTAGAAATTTATGACAAAGTCAATTTTAAGAATGCATAGCCGTAACATTATTACTGCATGTATGATGTGATGTATAACATATTTCATCGCTTAAGATGTCTAGAAATAGTATTAGCAGTAATTGGGAGAGACTGGCGCATATCGTCTGGCAAGTAGGTCACAGACGGGTCCTTTTTACCAATCACCTACCGTCCCCTCAACCCTCTACTCCACCTGCTACCCCTTCAAACCTCCTCAACCTTCCAATGAAAGTCAGGATGTCTTTCCATGCAAGACACCTATGCCTCAGTCGTCTGAATGCCTCAGCCGTACGAATGCGTCAGCCGTCCGAATGCCTCATAATGCAGAACGTAGTGTTAGTCGTTATTCGTCCCGCTCGCATCACGGACAGGTAGGATCATCCTACACACCTATTAGCGACAGGTGTTACTTAAGGTTGCAGTGGCCTGTCAAGACTCCAATCAGTTTGTTTAGTCTTCCTGTTTTGGTCAAGTAGCCAGGACGACTGCGATTTGTTCGGCCCAGTCACCCCGAGATAGTCTGCATCCACTGCTTACCCTCCAATGCTTCTTCATTCAATGTCCCGTAAACCCATTCATTGAGGGCTATCGTGACCTGCCTCTTTGTGATGCCTAACATAGGTTCCGGTCCAAAACAAGGTTCCTCCACTTCGAGTCCAGCCAAATCGTCGGCCATCTCGTTTTCTGATATTCCACTATATCCCGGGACCTACACAAGTTTTACCTCTTTGTACTTAGCCAGTTATTCCAAAGCATCCTCACACTCTTCAACAAGAGCCGACCTCTAGGAAAGCAGATCGTCTTCAGAGTCACTTAGCTGTTGAAAGGTACACACATAGTGGAGCTACGAGGCTGGAGGCAAAGCTACAAATTAGAGCGACGTTACTTGAATTTTGACGTATATCCATGTACAACCGTACATGGTCGCTGGGTCGTACAACGATACTAACAAGGTGACGCACGATGAGATAAAATTCTGATTCTTTGTCGGGTGTGGCGTTGCAATTTTCATTCAAAATATGATATAAGGTAGCAATATCCATTTTCATATAGAGAAACAATCTTTCAGGTGTTTCTTCAGTTCCGCAAATAACGTATAATATTGCCCAAAGTGTCTATTAACAGGGTGTATGAAATATTTTCTTTCGCCCAGCTACTGAATTGCCAACCAGTACTCGTACCGACGCGACGCACTGTCATGCAGAAACTCATCCTCAGCTGTTAGAAAACGGTTTTGATACTAACCTGAATATTCGGACGCATCGAAAATAGAAAAAATTGTCTCTTCATTATGTGCTTATATCTCGTCGCGTCGCGTCGTGCCGCGTCGCTTTGTTTTCAAAATCCTCGCTATGTTTGTACCCTAACTCACCACGACAAAGTGCGAATTCGATAAAATTTCCAGGTTAGGGGTACCAGTGCATACATCAGAAATAATAAGCTTTTCTTCTGGTGTTGGGGCCTAGTAGCGGAAATAAACCGTCGTTAAATAACTTAAATAAATGACAAACAAATATTCATCAATTTTATTTATCCGTGTAATTTATAAATTCAAGAAAAGGATAAAGAGAAAGAAAAGTAGTATAAAGTTAAAATTATTTATATTTTATTTTTACCATATCTATTTGTTTGTTCTGCCATAATATTAAGTACATATTTCTCATATTTCATTGAATATAATCAATACATATACAAATTCTTTTTTACTAATAGTAAAGTGTCTACGCAGTTACCATTTGTTTTTGCTTCTGTATGTTAATGTTGGTATTTGTTATCTGTAAATAACAGGTAATAAATAATAATTTAGGGTTATTACACTTACGTGGCTCATAAATTTTGCGTATTAGATTTTACCATAACTCAGATCGACTTAATTCCATGATTTATTTTTATGTTTATTTTTTATTTTTGCAGGTAAGGAATTCTTTTTTGACATCATCCACTGATAAATAGTAAGTAAAATTATTCACATTTAATTAATTTATTCTTTGTCATAGTTATTTATGTACTGATTTCAAAGGAACATATCAAGTTCGGTGTTGGTATAATACGAGAGCTCTCACGTGCTTCTGTTTCATTTAATTACGTGCTCAGAAAGGCGGTTACCTGGAATGTTTCTCGGGAATTTTGATATTTGGTCTTTTTAAATATTTTGAGGTGCTCTTTTCGAATTTTCACTTTGCCACCTCGTTTGTTTGTCGATCGCACCGCCATATTGGGAATGGAGCCTAAAATTAATATGTAAAAATTAATTAACTATATATTTAAAAACGTTAACATTTTGACTTGAAATTGCCTCGGGCACAAGCCTTTTGTAGTAATAGTTTACTGTAAAACTAATCTGCATAAGTCAGGTGAATGTTGAAAATCCACACTCATTCTATTATGCTTAGAGCTCGGATGGAGGTATCGAGTTCCAGTGACAGCTTTTGTGCAGGCATAATATTATATATATTGGAAACACCTATTCAAACATTCTCAAAATAGAAAAACAGAAATTTATACATGATAAGTAGATAAGCTATGAGAGGTGTGTGACAAAATCCCATTTTATTTCTTATGGAGATTCATTTTCATTCGGGACAATGAGAACGATTTCCATTTAATATAATGAGAAATCGAATTAATGGTATCGGGATAATGGGAACGGTGTTTGAATACATAATTAACCGGCTCAGTGGACTAAAGTGTTCTATATAAGTGTGATTAGAAATCATTCTACCGTAGCTACGGTTCGAATCCTGGCAATATCAATGCGAATGGTCCGCATTTTCTATATCTGTTAACATGGCGGTTCTTTTTGTAACTAAACCAAGATAACTCTCTACAACTTATACGTTTTCTATGGCATACACCGGATCACACCGAGGCACACCTTCTTTTAATCATCACGATCAGCTGTACTTTACTACATTATGTCCCGAATCGGTGTGTCCCGGTATATTCTAGTATGTCCCGGTCTGTCTCGGTATGTCCCGGTATATCCCAGTATGTATCGGCTCGGTATGGTTCGGTATGGTTGAGTACAGTTGAGTATGGCTGTGTATGGCTGTGTATGGCTGAGTATGGTTGAGTATAAATATAATTTTCAGAGGATTGTCTTGCTTTAGTTCCAAGAAGAATTCGACCCATTCCCATCGATATTGCCGGGATTCGAATCCGTAGCTACGGTAGAATGGTTTCTAGTCACGCTCAACATCGCGCGCTCAAGTCCACTGAGCCGGTTAATTATGTATTTAAACTCTGTTCCCATTACACAAAATCCCATTAGTTAAAATTTTCACATTAGTTATACTTATTATTATATCAAATGGAAATCTTTCTCATTGTGCCGAATGAAAATTTTGCAAAATGAACCTCCAAAAGAAATAACATGGGATTTTGTCTCATAGATTATCTACTTTCGG